GGTGGAGGGGGTGGTGGGAGGGGGAAGATGTCGCCGTCACCCGCCTAACCCTCCCGTCCCCCCCCCCCAACCTCTTCCCCAGGATGACAACTGGGGGGAGACCACCACGGTGGTGACGGGGACGTCGGAGCACAGCATCTCGCACGATGACATCACCCGCATCACCAAGGACATGGAGGACAGCGCCCACCTGGACTGCACCCGCCACCTGGGCGTCTCGCTGGCGGGGGCCCTGGCCCTCCTCGCCTTCCTCACCCCCCTGGCCTTCATGCTGCTGCCCCAGTTGCTGTGGCGGGAGGAGCTGGAGCCTTGCGGGACCCCCTGCGAGGGGCTCTTCATCTCCGTGGCCTTCAAACTCCTCATCCTCCTGTTGGGCAGTTGGGCCCTTTTCTTCCGGCGTCCCAAAGCCTTCTTCCCCCGCGTCTTCGTCTTCCGAGCTTTGCTCATGGTGCTCGTCTTCCTCCTGGTGGTCTCCTACTGGCTTTTTTACGGCGTGCGGATCCTGGATTCGCGGGACCGGAACTACCAGGGGGTGGTCCAATACGCCGTCTCGTTGGTGGACGCCCTGCTCTTCGTCCACTACTTGGCCGTGGTGCTGCTGGAGCTGCGGCAGCTCCAGCCCCAGTTCACCCTCAAGGCCGTGCGCTCGGCCGACGGGGCCAGCCGCTTCTACAACGTGGGTCACCTCAGGTAAGGAGCAAGGGGAGGGCTGCCCGGGGGGGTTTTCACATGTTGGTGGGCGTGCAGGAGGGGTGGGTGTCCACCTACGTGTGTCCACGTGCATTGGGGCGTGTGCATTGATGGAAACGTAGAATCATCTAGGTAGGAAAGGACATTTCAGATCATCAAATCCAACCATGAATCATAGAATCGGTCATTGAGGTTGGAAAGGACCTTTAAGATGGTCAAGTTCAACCGTGAAATCTTGTGTGTGCACACACATGTGCATTGGGGTGTGTGCATTGATGGAAATGTAGAATCATCTAGGTGGGAAAGGACCTCTCGGATCGTCAAATCCAACCGTGAATCATAGAATCGATCATGGAGGTTGGAAAGGACCTTCAAGATTGTCAAGTCCAGCTGTGAAGTTCTTGTGTGTGCACACACATATGTGCACGGGCATCGGGGCATGTGTATTGATGGAATGGTAGAACCATCTAGGTGGGAAAGGACCTCTCAGATCACCAAATCCAACCATGAATCATAGAATCGATCATTGAGGTTGGAAAAGACCTTTAAGATTGTCAAGTCCAACCATGAAATATTGTGTGTGCACACACATATGCATTGGGGTATGTGCATTGATGGAATGGTAGAACCATTTAGGTGGGAAAGGGCATTTCAGATCATCAAATCCAACCATGAATCATAGAATCAATCATTTAAGTGGGAAAGGACCTTTAAAATCGTCAAATTCAACTGTGAAATTCTTGTGTGTGCACACATATGTGCACGGGTGTCGATGTGTGTGCGTTCATGGAATCATAGAATCATTTAGGTTGAAAAGGCCATTTCAGATTGTCAAATCCAACCATGAATCATAAAATAATGGATATATTTAGGTGGGAAAGAACCTTTAAGATCGTCAAGTCCAACCATGAAGTTCTTGTGTGTGCACACACATACGTGCACGTGCATTGGGGTGAGTGCATTGATGGAATAGTAGAATCTTTAGGTGGGAAAGGACATTTCAGATCATCAAATCCAACCATGAATCGTAGAATCGATCATTGAGGTTGGAAAAGACCTTTAAGATTGTCAAGTCCAACCATGAAATTCTTGTGTGTGCACACACATACGTGCACGGGCATTGGGGCATGTGCATTGATGGAATGGTAGAATCATTTAGGTGGGAAAGGACCTGTCAGATCGTCAAATCCAACCATGAATCATAGAGTAATAAAATTATTTAGGTTGGAGAGGACCTTTAAGATCGGCAAGTCCAACCGTGAAATCTTGTGCGTGCAGATAAGTGTGTGCACAGGCATTGGGGCATGTGCATTGATGGAATGGTAGAACCATTTAGGTGGAAAAAGGACCTCTCGGATCATCAAATCCAACCATGAATCATAGAATCGATCACTGAGGTTGGAAAGGACCTTTAAGATGGTCAAGTCCAACCATGAAATCTTGTGTGTGCACACACATATGCATTGGGGCATGTGCATTGATGGAATGGTAGAACCATTTAGGTGGAAAAAGGACCTCTCAGATCATCAAATCCAACCATGAATCATAGACTCGATCACTGAGGTTGGAAAGGACCTTTAAGATCATCAAGTCCAACCGTGAAATTCTTGTGTGTGCACACACCTACGTGCATGGGCGTTGATGTGTGTGCGTTCATGGAATCATAGAATCATTTAGGTTGGAAGGGACATTTCAGATCATCAAATCCAACCATAAATCATAAAATAATGGATATATTTAGGTGGGAAAGGACCTTTAAGATCATCAAGTCCAACCGTGAAATTCTTGTGTGTGCACACACCTACGTGCATGGGCGTTGATGTGTGTGCGTTCATGGAATCATAGAATCATTTAGGTTGGAAGGGACATTTCAGATCATCAAATCCAACCATAAATCATAAAATAATGGATATATTTAGGTGGGAAAGGACCTTTAAGATCGTCAAGTCCAACCATGAAGTTCTTGTGTGTGCACACACATACGTGCACGGGCACTGGGGCATGTGCATTGATGGAAACATAGAATCATCTAGGTAGGAAAGGACATTTCAGATCATCAAATCCAACCATGAATCATAGAATCAATCACTGAGGTTGGAAAGGACCTTTAAGATGGTCAAGTCCAACCATGAACTCTTGTGTGTGCACATAAATGTGTGCACGTGCACTGATGAGTGTGCATGTGCACGGGCATTGGGGTGTGTGTATTAATGGAATCATTTTAGTGGGAAAGGACCCTTAAGATCATCAAATCCAACCCCGAATCATAGAATAATCGAATCATTTAGGTCAGAAAGGGCCTTTAAGATCATCAAGTCCAACCGTGAAATTCTTGTGCGTGCACATAAACGTGTGCACGTGCATTGGGGCGTGTGCATTGATGGAATGGTAGAATCATTTAGGTGGGAAAGGACATTTCAGATCATCAAATCCAACCATGAATCATAGACTCGATCACTGAGGTTGGAAAGGACCTTTAAGATCATCAGGTCCAACCATGAAGTTCTTGTGTGTGCACACACATACGTGCACGGGCACTGGGGCATGTGCATTGATGGAAACATAGAATCATCTAGGTAGGAAAGGACATTTCAGATCATCAAATCCAACCATGAATCATAGAATCAATCACTGAGGTTGGAAAGGACCTTTAAGATGGTCAAGTCCAACCATGAACTCTTGTGTGTGCACATAAATGTGTGCACGTGCACTGATGAGTGTGCATGTGCACGGGCATTGGGGTGTGTGTATTAATGGAATCATTTTAGTGGGAAAGGACCCTTAAGATCATCAAATCCAACCCCGAATCATAGAATAATCGAATCATTTAGGTCAGAAAGGGCCTTTAAGATCATCAAGTCCAACCGTGAAATTCTTGTGCGTGCACATAAACGTGTGGAAGTTCTTGTGTGTGCACACACATATGTGCACGGGCATCGGGGTGATGTGCATTGATGGATGGTAGAATCATTTAGGTGGGAAAGGACATTTCAGATCATCAAATCCAACCCCAAATCATAGAATAATCGAATCATTTAGGTCAGAAAGGGCCTTTAAGATCATCAAGTCCAACCGTGAAATTCTTGTGCGTGCACATAAACGTGTGCACGTGCATTGGGGCGTGTGCATTGATGGAATGGTAGAGTCATTGAGGTTGGAAAGGACCTTTCAGATCATCAAATCCAACCATGAATCATAGAATAATGGATATATTTAGGTGAGAAAGAACCTTTAAGATCATCATGTCCAACTGTGAAATTCTTGTGTGTGCACACACATACGTGCACGTGCATTGGGGACTCGATCACTGAGGTTGGAAAAGACCTTTAAGATCATCAGGTCCAACCGTGAAATTCTTGTGTGCACACACATACGTGCATGGGCGTTGATGTGTGTGCGTTCATGGAATCATAGAATCATTTAGGTTGAAAAGGAAATTTCAGATTGTCAAATCCAACCATGAATCATAAAATAACGGATATATTTAGGTGAGAAAGAACCTTTAAGATCGTCAAGTCCAACCATGAAGTTCTTGTGTGTGCACACACATATGTGCACGGGCATCGGGGTGTGTGCATTGATGGAATGGTAGAATCATTTAGGTGGGAAAGGACATTTCAGATCATCAAATCCAACCCCAAATCATAGAATAATCGAATCATTTAGGCGGGAAAAGACCTTTAAGATCATCAAGTCCAACTGTGAAATTCTTGTGTGTGCACACACATACGTGCATGTGCATTGAGGCGTGTGCATTCATGGAAGGGTAGAGTCATTGAGGTTGGAAAGGACCTTTCAGATCATCAAATCCAACCATGAAATTCCTGTGTGTGCACGCACACGTGTGCACGTGCACTGATGGGTGGGTGTGTGTGTGTGCACGGGCATTGGTGTGTGTGCTTCATGGAGCCATTGAGGTTGGAAAAGACCTTTCAGATCCTCAAGCCCAACGGTGACATTGATCTGTGTGCACCTCCCTGTGTCCACGTGCACTCCTGTGTGCACAGACGTGTGTGTGTGTCCACGTGCACACCCGTGTTCACCAGCACTTGTGCCCACACCACCGCACCGCCCAGAGGAGCTGCACCGGGGGCTGACCCGTGTCCCCGGTGCCACGTGTGGTCCGTGTCCCCCTCCTCGTCCTGCCCACACCCCCCCCCAAGTCCAACTGTGAAATTCTTGTGTGTGCACACACATACGTGCATGTGCATTGAGGCGTGTGCATTCATGGAAGGGTAGAGTCATTGAGGTTGGAAAGGACCTTTCAGATCATCAAATCCAACCATGAAATTCCTGTGTGTGCACGCACACGTGTGCACGTGCACTGATGGGTGGGTGTGTGTGTGTGCACGGGCATTGTTCCCTCGGCTTCTCCTCTCATTCTCTCCCCTTTCCTCTTCCCCATCCCTTCCCCATCCCTTCCCTTGCCTTCCCCTTCCTTTTCCCTCAGCTTCTCCTCTCTTCCCTTCCCCTTCCCTTTACCCTTCCCCTTCCTCTTCTCCTTCCCCTTTCTTCGGCTTCTCTCGTTCTCTCTCCCTCTTTCCCCTTCCCCTTCCCTTTCCCTCGGCTTCTCCTCTCATTCTCTCCCCTTTCCTCTTCCCCATCCCTTCCCCATCCCTTCCCTTGCCTTCCCCTTCCTTTTCCCTCAGCTTCTCCTCTCTTCCCTTCCCCTTCCCTTTACCCTTCCCCTTCCTCTTCTCCTTCCCCTTTCTTCGGCTTCTCTCGTTCTCTCTCCCTCTTTCCCCTTCCCCTTCCCTTTCCCTCGGCTTCTCCTCTCATTCTCTTCTCCTTCTCCTTCTCTTCTCTTCTCTTCTCTTCTCTTCTCTTCTCTTCTCTTCTCTTCTCTTCTCTTCTCTTCTCTTCTCTTCTCTTCTCTTCTCTTCTCT